ACTCTTGGCTATCAATGGAATCCAGGCTCCCCAAATGCAACTTCTACAAACTTCATGGCAAGGTGATCTTGAACAACTTCAACACTTGCTGGTCAGTTATATTGATGTTTGCTTCTGCCTTTGTGTAGGTAGGTGGGTGGGTAAGTGATATGAAAGGCATAGACTACATATGACTCATTTTAAAGAAAAATGAGTTCTTTTCAAATGCAGTCCCAGAAAGTTTCAGGCAGAAAATAGAAAGAAACAAGATCAAATAGGACATTGGGGTGGAAAACAGGATAATAAAAGAACACAACAGCAGGCTATTTCTACCTTCCTCCAGCTGGATGCTAGAAGAAGTCACATAGCACCCATGGGAAATAATATGCTCCCAGGATGCCCCCCAGAGAACTGCTGTCAACTTGCTCAGAGGAGTTCCCTTGACATCATTGCCTATTGTACAATTGCTGTTTAGATCCCTTTGGACCAGCTGCACTTATTATCTTTAGCCTGAAAAGGGAATCAGAGAGCTTATGCTTTGCATAATATTTAGTTGTAACTAAAGGAGTTAAAAGGATATGTTTTTAAAATGCCTTCTTCCCAAGTTATTGATTTTCTTATTTAGATTTTCTACCCATAGATACTCTTTCCTGAAGTAACTTACAAAACCATATGCATAACCAAGGACTCTAATTGTTGGTGACCAGCAACTGTCTATTCTTGGTATTTACCTTCAGAGATACTGTCAGATCACATGACCTTCCAACTGAAAGAAAATCAATTGCTGCTAGGAAACAGTTTCTTCCATTCCCTTATGGTCAAGACACAAACAGATAAAGAAAAAGTGAACAATATTCTGGTCACCTAGAGTTCAAGGGGATCTACAACAAAATCCAAAGGACTCCTTGAATACTTTTGTTGTACTAAACAATAGTCTAAAATTGTCGTAAACCATGACTAAAGCTTAGAAATTTTTTAGGAGTGCCTGGGTGGCTCAGTCAGTTAAGCGTCTGACTTCAACTCAGGTCATGATCTCATGGCTCATGAATTTGAGACCCGCATTGGGCTCTGTGCTGACAGCTCAGAGCCTGGAGCCTGCTTCAGATTCTATATCTCCTTCTGTCTCTTCCCCTCACACTCTGTCTCTGTCTCTCAAAAATAAATGAACATTGAAAAAAAATTTTTTTTAAGAAATTTTTTGAAAGACAATAAATTTTATTTTAATGGTATTCATAATGGTTGTTATAATCCAATATCTGTTTTCATAACCACATTTTCATCCATAAAGATTAGCAGCCACATTTTAAGAAACTGGTGTCTGTACCTGAATCCAAAGTTTAATAAGCAGGTGCTGAATTAATGTGCTATTGCAAGACTACTCTCAGTTCAAACCTTTCGTGTTGGTGCTAGCTAATAATAAACAGTGATATAAGAGGTCACTTCTTTTCAGAGACTGAAAAAAAAATTAATTAATTCCCATAGCACCCCTCTGAGGTAATATCATTATCTCTAGTTTGTCCCTAGAGAAACTGAAGTAGAAACACAAGACTATACTGACATGGCATAAAGTGAAATAGAGATGGAAAGTAGCAAATTATTTTGGTAAATAAAATAAACAATTTGGATAATTTGGCCTTACAGTGGTTTTTCAGTTCTGAATTATCCAAATTAAATTTTACTTTCATTAAAACAACGAATATCATCTGTATATCCACCTGCATTTGACTATATGTGTATATATGTGTGTGTGTGTGTGTGTGTGTGTGTGTGTATACATACACACACACACACACACACACACACACACACACACACACCTGCCTTATTTGTGTAACTCATTCATTCATTCCAGAAATGATTACTGAGCATGTGTCAAACACTCTGCTCAGTGCTTTTCATATTCTATCACCAATCATCACAACAACCCCACAAAGAAGACATTGTTATTCCTACTCTAGAGCTGAGGACTCTGAAGGTCAGTGAGTAGGATTGCTAGATTTTACAAACAAACATACAGGACACGTGGTTAAATTTGAATTTCAGATAAATACCAAATAAATTTTTTAGTATTACTGTGCCGCCAGTGAAAATTATTGTTTAACTGGATATCCTTTATTTTAACAGGGTGATCTTGTCAAGTGCCCTTGATATAATCCTATCAGGGAGGTTAAATAATCAGCTTAAGGAGGTAAAATTCAAACCCGGGTCTGTCTCTCAGGCCTGTGTTCTTTCAATTCATCAGCTCCTCATCAATATAGATATTGAGAAAGAATGTGTTGAAGCTGGGGTGACTGGATGGCTCAGTCAGTTAAGCATCTGACTCTTGATCTTGGCTCAGGTCATGATCTCATGCTTTGTGAGCCAGAGCCCCATATCAGGCTCTGTGATGACAGCATGGAGCCTGCTTGGGATTCTGTCTTTTGCTCTCTCTCCCCTTCCCCCACCTCAAAAATAAATAAATAAACTTAAAACAACAACAGAAAAAGAATGTGTTGAAGTTAAAATGAGAATTTGGCTAAGCAAGGAAAATGCAAAGATGAGTATAAATAGTAAAAACATACTAAAAATAAAGTTTCATGTTTTCAAAGGCATCTGAAGAGTTCCTGGATATAAATTTCCCAAACCAACATGGCTTGACCCCTCTGATGCTGGCTGTGAGGGATGTGGATCTGTTTGAGAGTCTTGATATGTTAACAGTCTACAGACCTGTGGAGGTTCTGTCTGAGCTCCTCAGGCATCATGCGTGAGTATGAGTGGTCAGTTGGCACCAGTGGAAGAGAGTCTATGTCATTGTTATTGTCAGAAGTCACTTGTAAACTTAGAGACATGCAACTCTGGACCTCAGGGTTGTTAAGTTCAAGCCCCACATTGGGTGTAGAAATTGCTTCATAATAAAATCTTTAAAATTTTTTATATATCGAATGCAAATTCATGTTCATAAAAGGGACTTCAGCCGTTGCAAAGTAATGTGCAAATGTTAGATGTTGCTATCTATTATTTTTATGATATTGACTATTTGTTTTATTTGTGTAAATACTCTTTTGGTACTTATGAAGAATATCAAATAATAACTCTTCTTTTTTTTTTTAGAATGTCAGATAATCCTTGAGTATGTAGCTCCTTACCCCCAACATGTTACTAATTATTTCAGAAAGCATTGTCAATTATCAAAAGCAATTTATAATACTGGTTTCTAATTATCTAAAAATTACTGTATGCCAGCATGTTCTTTTAGGGGAAGGGGAAGTAAATAATTGACTTTTAAAAAAAAATCAGTAGGTTAATAAGCAGTTTTTCATGTTAGAATTGCAGTTTCCTAATGCTGTTACCTAGATATCTTATCATCCAATAAGAACAGATGGGCAGCTCTTTCTCAGAATTTCATATGAATTTTGTTTTGGAAAGAAAAAAAAAGTAGAAGGGAGCTTCAAGAACAAAAGCATAGTCAAGAACACGAGCTATTGTAAAAGGACCGGTTACTATAATAGGATAAAGATGGAAGTTTGAAGCTACTTTAGACTTTAGTGTTAAGAAACAACTAAAGAGATTGTTTAACATGGAGAGTACCGGACAGCACTCCAGAGATGGTGTTCAGTAGGCCTGGAGTGGGGTCCAGAATATAGGAAATCAAAAAGTGCCACATCGAGAAACACTAATCAAGGCAAATGAGCAAACTGAAATCCCAAGGAGTTAAGTGACTTGCTTAAGGCCACTTATCAAAGCAGAGGCAGTCCCCTGATTCTTGGTCCTATCCTACTTCTTTTGAATCATGACCTTTGATGGAGAAAAGCTCATGAGGGGTTATTTTTTCAGAGGATAAAACATTTCCCAGTCCTATAGCAATAAAAAGATTCAAATTCAAAGCTGTTAGGTTGGAGACCATGCTCAACATGTTCTGTGTCCCAGAATGTGACTAGTGCAGCAAGTGTAATCATTATTTCCCACACCATAATCTGCCAATAGGGCTCTTACTATTGGCCCTTTGAATCTCTCTGAGCTGTTATGTATCTAATCCTCAGATTCAGTGCAACATGGAGAGGATATTTGTGCTATTGCAAGGAGCCCTGAGATTAGCCGGTCAGGCTTAACAATCACAGGGCAAGGTGAAGAAAGATGAAGAGATCATGCAGAGGGACTTTATGACAAGTTCGCTCCACTCAACCAAGAGTCTGTGAAATAAGCATATCAGCTTAGTTTTCTTTCTTTCTTTTTTTTTTTTTTTTTACATTTTTAAAAATGTTTTAATTTATTTTTGAGAGAGAGAGAGCGAGAGAGAGAGAGCGTGAGCGTGAGTAGGGGAGGGGCAGAGAGAGAGGGAGACACAGAATCTGAAGCAGGCTCCAGGCCCTGAGCTGTCAGCACAGAGCCCAATGCGGGGCTCAAACACGTGAACTGCGAGATCATGACTTGAGCCGAAGTTGGACTCTTAACGACTGAGCCACCCAGGTGCCCCCAGCTTACTTTTCAAGAGAGATTCTATTCTATTCTACAGTTTTGACTGGCAAAAAGGCTAGCTGCTAGCATTAGAAAAAAAAAAAAAAAACTATCAAGAAAGCAAGCTTAACTCATTGGAAAGAAAAAGCTAAGCAAGTCAGCTATTTGTAATAAGACAACAGCTTATCAAGATGTTTTGATCCTTACTTGATTTACTCATCATTAAAGAATTATGAAAAGTTTTATCCAAAGTTTGACATTTTCTGCAAATATTGGAATACTTTTAGGATGGAGTGGGAATAAGATATACAGAATATTCCTTTAATTTAAAATCTTGAAAAATTATCACTTTCTATCCCATACCCTTTAAAATCATTCTTGTTAGCCCCAAAGCACATGGTTACTTTTGTTTATTTGATGTCAATGTTTTTCTTCTCATATTTTTTCAATAGATTTAACTAAATAATTTTTCTGTTAATTCTATTCTTCCTAGAGATCCTAAACTCTGTGATTTTAGTGGAAAATCAGCAATACATTATGTGTCGCAAATACATAGTTTTAGGAAACAGCAGTTATTGGACATTCTAATGAACTCTATGCCAAGACCAGGTAAATACTTCTATTCCACTTTCAAAAGCTCCCCAACTATAAAAGCCTTATTAGAACTCTTTCTTCTACATGTGTTTGATGGATTCATTTAAAGAAATCAAGCCAACAACTATTTATTGATCAGTGACTATATACAAGGTCCAAGGCTAGGTACCCTTAAGGGTTGTAAAGAAATCTAAAACATTGTCCAAACTCCTGAAAGTGTTCAATAGGGTAAGGGACACATCACATAAGTCAGTAGAGAAAGTGCTTGTTGTGAGCTTGAAAGAGGAGAAGGGACTTACCATGTTCCTTAAATGCTGGGTAAGATTTGGAAGGAAGAGAACAAGAGAGGCGGTTTGATATAGGTGGAAAAAAAAGACAGAAACAGCCACAGAGAAAAGTGAAAGAAAGAAAGTACCACTGAGCAATATGTGACCTTGTGAAAGCTGCTTGACTTTATGGTCTGATTGGCTTTTATTCAAAACTTCTAGGCAGGGAACAAGGCTGTTCCCAGGAAGGTTTCATGAAAGCGGTAAGATTCAATCTGGTCCTCGAAAAACAGTGGGATTTAATTTTGTGGAGCAGAGGCATCATGCTGTAAATGAGCCTCACTTATCATAGGGGCAAATAAGAGACTAGAAATTAAATACATAAAGAAACTGGGTCCATTGAATACTCATTAAATGAAGGGTTTTTTTTTTCCCCCAATAAAACAGAGTCACTAAAGAATTTTAAGCCAGGGAATGATGAAAACCATGTTTTAGGAAATTTAAGCTGTTGTTATTGTGAAGAATGGATTCAAAGGAAGAGACTCATGGCAGGGAGCTCTATTAAGAAACTATAGAAGTGCCTGTGTGTGGTGACAGGAACCAGGAAGAGTCCTGGGCTTGGTGTGGGAGTGTGCCTGACAGGTGCTGAGTGTGGTGAACCTAAGAGCTATTGTGAAAGAAGAATTCACATAACTTAGTGATGTAAAGCTGAGAGAGACAAAAGTTGAGAGAGTTGAGTTAAATATGATTCCAAAGTTTCAGCCCTGGGAAGTGGGGAGATGGAAATGCAATCAATAAAATAGAAGACCACTCTGGTTTGGTGAGGATATAGAAGGCAATGGGTTCTAAAGCATTGCATTTGGATGGAACCTTGGGACTTGCAAGTAGCGATTTTCTGTTGGGCAGGCCTGTGGGAAGGGGTGGGTTGATATGTTAGTTTGGGAGTTCACTACAAAAAAGAGACTGTGAGGACCTGGAGTAGGTAAGATCCCTGGCGGATTGAGAATGGTGGGAGAACTGCAAGGGGTCAAGCCAAGGAGGTGTACCCACAGTTAGAGGGTGGTATGTACACAGGGACTCAGGGCGCTGAGAGAGAGAGAGGAGGGGATTGGGAGAAAGTTACAAGAAGCAAGGAGAGGGAAACAATGTCAAATTGGAAAAGAGATTACAAAGCAGATGTGGCAAGGAAGTGAGAAGTTTCAGTGATGAGATAGAGGCAGGAAATAGATTGCAGAGAGGAAATATGGTGAAGAAATGGATGATCTGAGTAGAGATAATCTTGTGCAATTTTGTATCAGTTACAAAATAAATGGAAAAGCCATTGGAAGAGAAAGACGTTTTCATCGAAGAGCCCATGCTTATTTTGAAGAAGTCACGATAGCAGGAGGGGGATGATATGAGAGAGCACTGTCCCTTGGGAACTAACTGGGAGTTCATGGGTGCTCAGAACTCTGCCAATTTAATGTGACTTCTGCTATACAGAAAATGTGCCATGTCTTTGGTAACTATAGAGCAAATGTAATTTCCAGCCCATTGTTAGGGGTTTCACTTGGCAGCTTTGCCCAACTTAAAAACAAAAACAAAAACACATCCATTCTGTGGACTCTTGTTATCCTCACTCACATCCTTCCCTGTGAAAAGTATTGCCTAAAGCTTCATCAGGATCCCAGACCACTATTTTGGGAAAATCTTTGACAGAATGGAACCAGTCTTAGAACACAGAGCTAGATCTTCTGACGAAATTGATGGAGATAAGTCTTATCAAAACACATTATTCTGTTTCTTTTGGCAGAAAGACATGCTGAATCATTGCTTGATATTTGTCATGATACTAACTCTTCTCCAACTGATAGGATGACAGTTACTACAAACCAAAATATAATCTTGCAAAGTATCAGCAGCAGTGAGGTAAGATGTTCTCTTTAAAGAAACTAACAACAAGGGGCACCTGGGTGGCTCAATCTCTTAAGTGTTGGACTTTTGGTTTCGGCTCAGGTCACGCGAGTTTGAGCCCTGTGTTGGGCTCTGCACTGACAGTGAGGAGACTGCTTGGGATTCCCTCTCTCTCTTTCTCTCTCTCTGCCCTTTCCCTGCTCACTTTCTCTCTCAAAATAAATATATAAACTTATATAAAAAAAAGAAACTAACAAAAAATGGATAACCTACCCCATCTACTACCTCATGTGTGTTGCTTGAATATTTTACAGCAATCATATATCACAATTTATTTCTAAATGTAATCATAAGGTAATTAAAAGCAAAATTAATAAGGCAGTGCTCCACAAGTTTAATCTCAGAGCTGTAATTAGCTAGTCAGCTCAGAGTCTCCTGCGTTTTGTGTGTATGTATCTAATACCACAGAATATTGTTGCAGTTGAACTGATACTAAATAATGAAATGCAGCTTGTGTTTATGTGTGTTCATGTGGAAAAGGAGAAGATCACTCATCTGATCATGTCAAATCCATCACAGGGTACCACAAAGAAGGTGCCTCCTCTTGGCCCTGGTCACCCCCGGCCCCCCACCATGATGAATGACTCCACATGAAGTCCCTCACAGTACAGTAACCGTACTAATAACAAACAGTGTAATCCATAGAAAACTGTGGACCAATACCCAAGATATACAACAAACTGGTAACATGGTAACAATTGTTGCCTATAGGGAGAGAATTGGAGATGACTCTGTGCTGTGTATTCATTTGTACCTTTTGAATTTTTACAAAAATTAACACAGCCCAGACAGGTAAAAGTATTGCTGCTCTATATTTTGTTGGTAAGAAAACAATATGGCCACAAATTATTTATTTTACAAAGTTAATGAGGTGTGGACTATAATATAATAAATAATGAGGACTTTTGGAGATGGTATATATTTTTGAGTCCTTTTCTCCTTCCAAAAATCATCCCAAAACAACAAAGAAAAAAAACACAAAAATTTAATTTAAAAAACCTTTTTTATTTTGAGATAATTACAGATTCACAGGAACCTATAAAAATAGTGCATAGAAGTCCTGTGTAACCTTCACCAGCTTCCCCAAAAGGGAACTATTATCGTAACTCTAGCAGGTTGTCAAAACTGGGAAATTGACACTGACACATTATAATTAACTAAGCTACAGACCTTGCTGGGATTTCACTAGTATTTGCATGCATTGTTTTTTCTGTTTGCGCATGTGCCTGAGTGTACTGTTCTTTGACATTTATCCCTTGAATCACCACAGTCAAGATACAAAGTTGTTCTGTCACCCCAAGGGAATCCCTTCCTACTGCCCTCTTAATAGCCACACCCTCCTCCATCCTTAACGCCTGGCAACCACTGATCTGTTACCCATCTCCATAATTTTGTCATTTTGAGAATGTCATATAAAAGGAATTCTCATATGTATAAACTTTTGAGATTGGTTTTTCTACTCAGCATAATGCTTTTGAGATAGATCCAAGTTGTATCAAGTTTTTTTTTGCATTGCTAAGGAGTATTCTATGGCACAGGTGTTTACAGTTTACTTAACTATTCACCTGTTGAGAGACATTTAGGGTTGTTTCCAGTTCTGGGCTATTATATACAAAGCTACTATGAGCAATTGTGTACAGATTTCTATATAAACATACGTTTTCATTTCTCTAGGATACATGTCCAGGAATCCAAATACTGGATCATATGGCAAATGTATGTTTAACCCTTTTAAAAACTGCCAAACAGTTTTCCAGAGTGGCTCTATCATTTTATATTCCCATCAGCAATGAAGAGAGATCCAGTATCTCTGTATCCTGGCCATCATTTGGCAGTGTCAGTATTTTTTATTTTAACCATTTTAGTAGAAGTATGGTGGTATCTCATTGTGGTTTTAATATCCATTTCCCTAATGACTGATGTTGAACATCATTTTTCTATGGGTTTATTCCCCATCAGCATGAATTGTTCAAATTTTTAATCTATTTTCTGATTGGATTGTTTGTTTTCTTACTCTTGGGTTTAAAGAATCCCTTATATATTCTGGATATGTCATTTGCAAATATTTTCTACTAGTCAATAGAAGAACTGGCTTGTTATTTTCACCTTTGTAACAGGTCTTTCACTGAATAGAAGTTTTTCTTATTTAGTTAGTTGGTTGGTTAGTTAGTTAGAGAGAGCACATGCAAGAGAGAGGCAGAGAGAGGAGAGAGAGAATCCCAAGCAGGCTCCATGCTGATAGCACAGTGCCCAGCACTGGCCTTGATCTCACGAACTGTGAGATCATGACCTGAGCTGAAATCAAGAGCAGAATGCTCAACTGACTGAGCCACCCAGGCACCCCCCCAAAGCTTTTCATTTTGATGAAAACCAATTTATCTATTTTTTATGGGTCTTAATTCTTACATCATGTCTAAGAATTCTTTTACTTGATCTGGGTCCTGGTTTCACAATTATGTTCAGTTTATAAACATTCATGAATCTATGCACTTTCTGAAAGTATGCTACACTTAAATTGAAAGTAATTGTGGGGCATCTGGGAGGCTCAATTGATTAAGCATCAAGCATCTTGCTCTTGATTTTGGCTTAGGTCATGATCTCATGGTTGTGAGATTGAGCCCCACATCTGAGCTCTGTGCTGGGCATGGAGCCTGCTCAAGATTCTCTTTCTGGGGCGCCTGGGTGGCTCAGTTGGTTGGGCGTCCAACTCTTGGTTTCTGCTCAGGTCATGATCTCACAGTTCATGAGTTCGAGCCCTGTGTTGAACCCTGTGCTGAGGATTCAGAGCCTGGAGCCTGCTTTGGAATCTATGTCTCCCTCTGCCTGCCCTTCCCCTGCTCATTGTCTCTCTCTTTCTCTCAAAAACAAATAAACATTAAAAAAAAAAAAAAAAAAAAAACTCCTCTCGGGCATGAGATGGGATGGGGTAGAATGGAAATGTTTATTTTTAATACTATTATTACTATTTTTAATATTAAGCAATAGCATATTTCATACCGTTTGAATATTTTTCTTTTACAACTTTTTTAAACAGGCTAAAACCAAAAACCAAACCACAGTTGCTTTAGTACACTGGTTCTCAACAGAGAGTCCCCAGGGGACATTTGGCAACATTAGGAGACATTTTTGGTGTTACAGCTGGGTGGAGGTGCTACTGGCATCTAGTGGGTAGAGGTCAGGGATGCTGCTAAACATCCTAGAGGGCACGGGACAGCCCCACAATGACGAATTATCCAGCCCCAAATGTCATAGGTGGTGAGGCTGAGAAACCCTGCTACGCAGCAGGTTTTGTCACAACCATAAAGGCTGTGTTGTTTTTGGTTACTAATATTACATAGTAATTGAAATAAAATACCTAGAGATCAGTCTTTAAAGTGACCGTCATGTGACTCCTGGGTGGCTCAGTCCATTAAGCGTCTGACTCTTGGTTTTGGCTCAGGTCATGATCTCACAGTACTTGAAATCGAGCCCCAAGTCTGGCTCTTTGCTGACACACAGAGCCTGCTTGGAATCTTTCTCTCTTCCTCTCTCTCTGCCTCTCCCCCACTCGTATTCTTTCTCTCTCTCTCTCTCTCTCTCTCTCTCTCTCTCTCTCTAAATAAACAAATAAACTAAAAAAAAAAGTGACTGGGGTGCCTGGGTGGCTCAGTCGGTTAAGCGTCCGACTTCAGCTCAGGTCATGATCTCACAGTTCATGGGTTCGAACCCCACGTTGGGCTCTGTGCTGACAGCTCAGAACCTGGAGCCTGCTTCCGATTTGTGTCTCCTTCTTTGTCCCTCCCCTGCTCACACTCTGTCTTTCTCTGTCTCTCAAAGGTGAATAAATGTTAAAAAAAAATTTTTAAGTGACTGTTATGCATTAGAAATTGCTAAACAAAAACACATTTGCTTTTCGTTTTTTGTGGCATATTTAAGTAATTCTCTTTTGTAAAAGGACTAAACATCCCTTTATATTAGTACATTTTTTTCATGCAATTTAAAAACTTTTGTTGAACCTCACTCTATATTTTTGTTATTATGGTTGAAATAACTTTGAACTCATTTCTGAGGGAGAAATAGACTCTGACTATTGAACTTGTCTTTTCATCTCTAGTGCTTTCTCTAAGGTTTAAATTGTAAAACCCAAAGTCATCCTTCACTTCTTTTCTTTAAATGAAAGCTTGCTTTTCTTTTTGGTGGTCTGCAATAGGTTTTCATAGTTTACAAATATAAGCAGCTGCCTTGATTGTAGGAGTGCCTCTGAGAGACTTTACAGCCTCTCCCAATCACAGTACTTGAAATTGAGTCTCCTTTCATGTAAAGAGACTCTTCCTTTCAAATTTAATTATGTATGATTTCTATGCCTCTTTTCTGTATGTTTGAGATTCTGTTGTTTGCTGATTAGAATACTATACTTTTTCTAGTCTATTGTCACCTCCTGCATCATTGTCAGTGGCTTATGAAATCCATTTATACTGGGGATGTGCTATTCTACTATTTTCTCTTCTTCACTCATGACTGAGTGTCATTATTTCAATTGTCCTTGTGGCACCCAAGTACATCTTAAAGTCTTTCATATTTAGCATTCTAAAATAAATTAGAGAATCCAAAGCTGTTTCTGTTTTAGAGTCTTCGTTTCCATGATGAGCCTTCAAAACATATATTATTCCCTACATCCTTTTGGGTTTGTGTGATGTTTACGGTTTTTCAGTTTATTCTATGGAAGAAATTTTTGTCAGATACTAGCAGGTATCACATACCTTTTATTTTTTCCCATGCAGAACTTATAAATTAGGTTTCAGTATCCTTTCTCTTAATTTTGCTTACCGTTATTGATTCTTTTTTTTTTCTGATTCTTTTTGAGATTCTTTGTTTTGAACTTTCCATGGTTGCAAGAAAGCAGAGGGGTTAAGAGCTCTGGAACCAGACTTCAGAGTTTGGGTGTATATCCTGACTTTGCCACTGGCTAACCTCTCTGGGCCTCATGTGTAAAAAGAAAACAATAATTCCTACCTTCAGTTGGTGTGAGGATTAAATTATTTAATATATATAAGTTGCATAGAGGAGTGTCTGACCCTACATGTGTAGATGCTAGTCATCAAAATGGATTTTTGTTGGTAGGTGTGCCCACACTCTGCGTCTTTCAACTTTCCTAAAGGACCAACTAATAAATGAACTGAGCAGTTGAGACTGATCACAGCTCATTAATCAACATAGACACCTGACATGAGAGCCAGTTGTGTGTGTGTGTGTGTGTGTGTGTGTGTGTGTGTTTTAATGTTTATTTATTTATTTATTTATTTTTTAATTTTTTTTCCCACGTTTTTATTTATTTTTGGGACAGAGAGAGACAGAGCATGAACGGGGGAGGGGCAGAGAGAGAGGGAGACACAGAATCGGAAACAGGCTCCAGGCTCTGAGCCATCAGCCCAGAGCCCGACGCGGGGCTCGAACTCACGGACCGCGAGATCGTGACCTGGCTGAAGTCGGACGCTTAACTGACTGCGCCACCCAGGCGCCCCAATGTTTATTTATTTTTGAGAGAGTCAGAGCACAAGTGGGTGAGGGGCAGAGAAAGTGGGAGATGCAGAATCTGAGGGAGGCTCCAGACTGTCAGCTGTCAGCACAGAGCCCAATGCGGGGCTCAAACTCATGAGCCGTGAAATCACAACCTGAGCCAAAATGAGACACTTATCTGACTGAGCCACCCAGACACCCCCCAGTTATATATTAACACTGCCACATGAAGGCTGCTATTTGCCAAAGTTTATCATAAAAATTTAATTGAATCACTGTAATTATATGAAATGGTAGGAATATATTTTGAGGTCTCGTAAGAGTGTTCCCAGACTAAGGATCTGAACAAGACTATATCTATTAAAAGGAAAAATTCAGTGGTCAATAAACATGTGAAACTGTCTCCACACTTTTCTACTGATCACAATGTGCACATTCAAACAACAAGATGACCACTTCCATAAATTACAGTACTAAAAATGAAAAGTGATGATAATTGATAAATCGAGGAGAAGATGTAGTGAAACACCTTCATGAACTGCTGGTAGAGTGTAAGCATTAAGTGGAAACTTTACTTTTAAACTAGTGTGTGTAAAACAACTTAAAAATGTTCATACTCTCTGGATCAATAATTCAATATCTAGAAACCTACTCTAAAGAAATAATAAAAATTTGGGTATTAATTGCATGGGTGTCCACAGCACTATGTGTAATAATGAAGAATTAAAAACTGACTAATAAGCATTATGGAGCTTATATTGTAAGACTCATGGGGTTTACTAAACATTGTTGTGACCCTCTGATAGATACTTGTTGAGAGAAGAATTTATAATTACATTAAAATGATGTTTACTTAGTAAATTGCTGTGTAATTTGTACTTGCCTTAAGTGAAAACGCTGGACAAAATAAGATGTGATGCAACTGTATTTTTAAATACTTAGGAAAAAGATGAAATATTATTTCTATGTTAATTGTGTTTGCTTTTTTATTTGTAAGATGACAGATTTTTTCCTACTGCATTTAAAATTTTTTATTTATTTATTTTGAGAGAGAGAGAGCGAGAGAGAGAGCGAGCACTATTGGGAGAGAGACAGAGACAGAGGGAGAGAGAGAATCCCAAGCAGGCTCCATGCTGTCAGCACAGAGCCAGACACAGGGCTTGATCTTGGACGCCCAACCGACTGAGCCACCCAGGCACCACTCTAGTGCATTTTAAAAATGCTTTTT